GTGTGTGTTTGTGTGTATGTGGGTGCGTGCATTAAATCTACACATTTCGACCAATAAAATGGAAACAAAACAAAAGATAGAAGATTGAAAGAACGCATATTAACAAAAGGAAGATCTGTAGTATAAAAATAATAAAATTAAAAAAAGAGCAATAAAATGATGAAAATAAAAATAATCACTTCAATTTAAATGTGTTGCCGCCCAACAAGCAAACACAAGAGTGTATATATATTAACACTTATACGAATTACTCACATAAAAACTAATAAATTATATAAAAAGAAATAAATATATCTATATTACTGAATCTTTCAACACACACACACCACACACACAGACACATTGTACGTGACAAAAGGGGATGTCTTGCAGTCGAACCCAGACAGTGCAACAGCATAGACGGGTGCCTTAACCGTTACACCACCTCGCATATAAAAAGGTATATAGGTATTTATATAATGACAGAGAAGCGATTATAAAAAATGATTTTAATTATTTATTTTATAATATTAATTAATTATTCTAACTCAGGGGTGAGCAAACTATGGCCCACGGCCCGCAAAGCTATTTTATGCGGCCCGCGAAGCCTTGTTCTCCACGGCCCTTCAAAGGTAAAATAGTTCTCAATGCGGCCCTCACAGCAAAAATTTCGCCCACCCCTGTTCTAATTAATCTAACAATCCATTTAAAAGCGAGATAAGGCATGAAAGAGATATCCTTAAAGAATATGCCGATTTATATTCTTTTAGTATTCTAACGACCAACATAGCCCAGTATTTTTTAAATTGTACGGTAGGTACACCTCGAGCTTTATTTAGATTTCTGAAACGGTAAAAAAGATTAAATAAAAATAGTTTTTTCATAAAAAATATATTATACAATATATATGCGTGAAAAATTGATTCATTATAAATACAAGATAGGTTAACATTGTCAACAGCAATGCAAGCAACAACGCCAAGAACGCATGAATTAAAATCAAATGAAAATATAAATTACTGATAGGAAAAAGATTGATTATAAACAATTTGAAAAATAAAATAATCGAAAATAAAAGGTCAAAATCCTTTCGTGAGACTGTTGACGAGATCAGAGGTCACTTGTATGACCCCCATGGCCAGGGGCCAGTAGGCGTGGAACTCCCTCAAGAAAGGGGCGGTCTAGTAATGGTGATCGTTGATGACGTCATGAAGTGATCGTTGATGACGTCATGAAGTGATTTTTGATAATGTCATGGAATGATGTAATTGCTATGTTTGATAGAAATATATCCATCCATCGATCTATCCATTCGTCTATTCATCAATTCATCCACTCATCTATCTATCTTCCTATCCAATTATCCAACTATCGACGCAATTATCAATTAATCCATCCATGCACACGTCTATCTAATTATACATCAAATTATCCATTTATCTATTCATCTAATAATCCATCCATTCATCTAGCCAATAATCCATCAATCTATCCACACACAAACACACACACACACACCTAACACAATAACCAACACAATCACCATCATATTACAAAAACAAATACAGCAGCAAGAGAACCTGCATAGCCAATTCTTTCACCCCATCAACAACTTGCTGGGGGATAGCCTCACTGAGTCCCTGCCTAACTGAGTCCTGGAAGAGGCACTGCAGCAGCATGCAACCGGGACTACCACCAAACTGGAGATCCGGTTGACCGCGGGTAAAGTTGCAATCGCCAAGTTGAAGGTCGAAAGCTTAAGGCGATGTTGCAGTGAGTGATGTCGCATCAGTTTTTGTGATGTTGCGTCATTTTTTTGTGACGTAATGATGGTGTAGTGATGTTGTCTTGATGTGATAATGATGTTGTTGCTGTTGTTGTTGTTTTGTGAGAAAACCAAAAAATTAGACAACTCAATTTAAAAATAAACAAACGAACAATAAATGTAAAAAAAAGAAGACACCAATCACAAAGCTCGGACATGCAGCATACAATTGAAAGAATATCATAAACAGCTCGTTTACAGAACATACAACGTATACATAAATTACTCAGCAACACTTTAAATGCCCAATTAACTGGTGATGAATGCATGTGCGAACAACGAAGGATAGTATATAAGTATGAGATGTGAGATGTGCTGGGCCGCACACAAAGTACACCAAATACAGAACATACAAAAAATACACACACAACCACGTACCACACACACACACACAAACACACACACACACACACACACACACACACACGTACACACCTTCTCCTGGAACTTTAACAATATTTGCAGAAAACTGGAAAGCCATTCCATTCATTGAAAGTTCATACGTTCCTCGATCACTCAACAGACCTCCGGCTATCAAAAATGTGTCAATATTACATGGTCATAATATTGGTATCTTATGCATACACACGCACAAACAATCACACGTACACACGTACATGTATATGCACTCACATTCAATTACACATTTACTCAAACATTCTCACTCATCAGACACATTACGCATCACACATAAACAACAGTTACTGCTGTATTTATTTTTGGTAAGTATTATTAATTATCAATGATTAATTCTTAATTGAAAAAAAATTTGTGGTTGAATTAAAACTTTAAAAAGCTTAATTTTTGAATTTATATATATATATTTAGGTTCAATTAATATATCTAATAAGTACTTACAAAATAATTTAGATTGAGACATAAACATTAATGTGCAAATTTTAAAAATTAACTTTATTTTATATGTAGTTAGTACAAGAGATTAAGCTGTGGAGATATATGAAAAAAGAAAGGGGCATAAACAACTAGACGAGCAGCAGAGTTAAAAGCTTTACTTGAAAGACAGAGTATAGAATCAGGAAGACCATAGTAGAGCAAGTTACAATAATCAATCCTAGATAAGACTAACGAAGTAACAAGAAGGAGAAAAGTAGGATTGTCAAGAAAAGGCAAAAGTTTTTTTATTCTACGTAGATGAAAGTAAGAACTTCTAGCAACACTATTAATCTGAGAAGAGAGAGACATAGTAGAATCAAAGATAAAACCTAGACTACGAAACTCGTAGTATCAGGTAAGATAATAGGAGGAATAGTAATAGAGCGTTTAGATTTATTAAAACAAATTAATTCAAATTTAGAAGGATTAAGTTTAACTCACATTGAGTCAGACCAAGCGATAATTGAAGAAAGACATAGAGAATTATGAAAGATACTATTGAGATTAAATGGAAGAAAAGAAATATAAATATAAGAAACCTACCCAAATTATATTTCCAATCCCCTAAACTCTGAACCCCAATATCGTTGACCGCCCACGTGATGTTTCCCCCGTCCACCGAAACTGTTGAGAGGGGTCTGGATGCTCTACTTACCCTGCCATTTGTTGCCTCGTAATCTACTTCTGTTATTGCTGCCTGTGTGTGTGTGGGTGTATATGTGTGTGTGTGAGTGTGGATGTGTGGTTGGGTGTGAATGTGTATGTACATGCATGTGTGTGTCTGTATGCATATGCTTTCAAACGAAAACTAAATATATTTAGAAAATATCATACATATTACCTGATAGTTTTAACAGTAGAACAAACTCTTTAACTAACTACAAAAACATGAGCTGTCAGTCAACCAGTCAATCAACAAACCAACTAACCAACCTACCACACAGCCAATCAATTGATCAATCAAACGAACAACTAATTTATTAATCAGCCAGCCAGCAAACCAACCAATCAATCAACCAACTGACCAACCAGCTGACCAATAGGATACCTGAGACTTTCCTTTACAATCGGGCAGAGTTAGTGTTTCCAACTTTTGCAGGAGCACCTCGAGAAGTTTGTTGGATGCGATGGTTGCAAAGTGGGCCAACATTTTTCTGGCTGCTTCTTTGGCCACGTCCTCCAATACCTTTCAACAATTTTCAATAAGTTGTTAGTCTCAAACTATTATTAAAAATAGACCTTTCAAAAGTTTGTATTCATCATCATGATTATTATTAATAATATTGTTTACATTTACACATTTTAAAGTGTCCAATAAAAAGTTAATGTCAGGTATGAATTGTAATAAAAATTATGAGAGTTTTCAAATTAAAAAAACGTAAAGGAGAGTTATAAAAAAAATTACACAAAAAATGTCAATTATATTTTTAAAATATTAGTCATATGAATCATGAATGTATTAAAATAATACTGGAAAACACTGAAACCTGTTGTGAAGAGTTTGATCCATCTAGTGACTTCAAATAATTGATATCAGGAAGGTCCCACTCGTCTTTCACTGTGTCATAGGCCAGTTGCAAAAAGTTTAATGCCATTCTCAATTCTACTTTCAATTCTTTTAAAGCAGTAACAGTTGATTTTTTATTTAACCAATCTTAACAACAGACATCTCCTAACTACCATCAAAATGAATTGTCAACCAAATCAAAACAAATTTTTTAAAAAATCGACAATGGAGCTATTTAAAAATATCTAATTATCTGTTTTAATATTAATTTTAATACTTTTATTTTAATTAATTTTATTTTTTTATTGATATTTTAATGTTTTACTTTGAATTTAATAATCTCAGTTTACAAAAATTTATTCATAAAAAATGAATGATTTATAATCAAACTATATTGCTAAGATTTATAAACTACCACAAACACTAATCACGTTGAAATATCCTGCCTAAACAGAACCAAATAGAACTGAAGCACTTTAATTTTTAAATGTCCAACCAAGCCAAACAAACAATGAAGGTTAGCTAAGTGGGAGACGCAAACGTGCTATATTTAAAATGAGTTTTTATGGAAAAGCAATCCAATTACAAACCAATAACAAAAGAATAATAATGATTAAAGCAAATTTAGTTAAGTATACTCTTGCATATAAATTAAATAAGGTCTTAATCAGTTGTGTGCATTCAATGATGCTTAGAAAATCATTTTACTGAGACTTTTATGATGTTAAAGCAGTTAGCTATTGAGTAATAATGGATATGTTGTTGTATAAGTTAATTGAAAGGTGATCAAAAGCCTTGGGTGTTGTGATAAATCTCTCGATAAATAAGTCAATTACAGGATATATTGTTAGTTTGAGCAATCTTGTGGCAAGTCAACCACCTAGCCATATCAGTGGATGGAGAGGTTCGACTGACCAAGCAATCCAGAACGGTTTTGTAGCTTTCTAAGTGTTTTTTGGTGTTTAATTTAAAAGAGACAAAATCAATGTGTTATCAATTTTTTTATTCCACAAAAATAAATTTAAATCGTTAAATTAACTGAAATCGTGTGTTAGAAGGTGACACTAAGTGTAACATCAATATCGGTTTAAAAATTAACGCAGGTTTTCAATCAAATTGTTAAAACTAAGTTACAAACCAAAGCTTTCTAAAAGAAACTATCGAAATACAATACAACTCAGCGTTACAAAATGAATATTTATAATTAAAAAATGTAAAAATAAGTTAAATTTATTTTATTCAAAAGCATTGAGATGAAAATCTGTTGAACCAGCTATAACTAAACCGCAAAAATATAAAATAGACCAAACATATTCGGTCAGATATTTATATAAAAGTTCAATAAGTAACAGACAACAGGTGATAATAATTAACCACTTAACCAATTTATTGCTACAGGTGTACCACAAATTTATATCACGAAAATATTCTCATTTAATTTAAAAAACCCATCATCATCTTCATCTTCAAATTTATATCACGAAAATATTCTCATTTAATTTAATCCTCATCATCATAAACATCATCCTTACCATCATACTCATCATACTCTATAACCAGTTGTTTGTTAGCAAGATGATATCGGTTCTTTTATGAACAAAAGAATCCAGCAAACTTCGCTAACGTAGCACTCAAGTTTAAAATTACAATCTATACATATCAATATAATAAATAATAATGGCAAATAAAAAAGCAGCTTGAATGAACAAAAAATAATTTTCAAGTAGGGCATAGAAAACGCTGATAAGAAGTTGTTAAATACAAATGAATGGCCTTTACAACGGACAATTGGTCGCAATTAAACGATCAAAAAAAAGCAATAACACGTGGAACATATATAAGGCACGCTGTTGATAAGTCACATCCCAAAATGAATGATGAGAATATGGAAAAGAAATTGCGATAAATATTAAATAAAAGAACCGCAAAAATAATATTCCCTAAGCGTCATCTTTAAAAAAATGCAACAACCAGTGTAAATTTTACAAAAAATGTAAGGCTGTATTAATTATAAATCACATGTGTACTGTACACGTTAAATTAATTTCAGAAATTTTACAAATTAAAAATAATTAGAAACAAATTACTACATTTGATCAATAAAAATTAAAAAGCGTAGGTGTGAACAGTGCGTCTCTCTCTCTCTCTCTTTCTCTCTCTCTCTCTCTCTCTGTGTGTGTGTGTGTGTGTGTGTCTTTACGATGAACGAACAAAATATCATGAACACTGTTATTGTGATTAGATAAGTAGTAACAATTAATTATAAAATCTAGTTAGACGTAACTTAAGAACACAACCAACATAACAAACATACAAACAAACACGTAAACATATAAATATACAATTGTGCAAAAACCTAAGCATACATCCATACAGACATAAGAAACAAGCAAAAAAGCCTAAACAAAACCGAAACCTACAAAGAAGTTGTACTAGTAAAAAGACAAAATGAACTGAGGTTTGAAAGTGATAGAAAACAAACAACACACACATTAACACATAAACACACACACACACGCACACACACACACACACACACACACACACGCACACACACACATATATATATATATATATATATATATATATGATTATAGTAACACTATTTAAATTATAGTATAACATAAATAATAAATACAACTATTAATGTTATTGCAATATAATAACAAATAATATTCTTTATGCTTCATGTTATATCATAACGCTGAACTGTGTAAATTAATTTTACAATAAAAGTATAAAATGTTTTTGAAAAATTAATGAAACGAATGAATGAAACAAATGAATGAAACAAATGAATGAATGAATGGATGAATGAGTGGATGAATGAGTGAATGCATGCATGCATGCATGCATGCATGTATGTATGTATGTATGTATGTATGTATGTATGTATGTATGCATGCATGCATGCATGTATGTATGTATGTATGTATGTATGTATGTATGTATGTATGTATGTATGTATGTATGTATACGTATGTATGTATGTATGTATACGTATGTATGTATACGTATGTATACGTATGTATTGAATTGAATTGAATGGTCAAGCAAATGGTCAATTAATGAGAATAGAGATATGAACCATGTATAATTATTATTATAAGTAACGTGAAATATGCTCATTAACCAACAAAATATCAGTCTGAAAAACGTAAGAAATCGCAATAACAATAATACAAATAATAATAATAATAACAACAACATAAAAATAATAATAAATAAAACTCAGTGAAGAGGAGAAGATGACGAGCAAGCTATTCAGCTGACAACGAATTGCGAAATCCTTTGTGGCAAAAGAAACTACATTGATCAACACCAAAAATTAATATAGGCTAATTAATATCATCATCAGCGCCATCATCATCATCATCTCAATCATAGTCGTAATTACAATCACAACTAACTATCATCATCGTCATCTTTTCAACATCACCACCATCCTAATCATCGTACAGTACACTCAATTAAAAATAACCAAACTAGAAACACGTATGCGACTTTCGCCAAAATGTTATGAAATAATGTGTGTCAGTGATAAAATATAACAATAATAATAATAACAACAACAACAACAATAATAATAATAGAAACAATAATAGTTATTTTAGTTATAATTATAAATGATGGTTACAATTAATAATAATTATTGTTAATATAGCTCCAGACAAAAACATGAGATTAAGAATTATTGCTCCATTGAATAAGGCACTGATGAAAACTCTATATATCTATTTCATATATACAAACCATTTTCAAGGAGATAATATTAATCTAGATGATTAAAACGTAAATGAACAACTATTAATTGACTAACTAAATAATTAGTAAATCAATTAAATAACCGTAAAACAAACAATTATGAAAAAAATATTTAATTTACTAATTTAGTGATTCAATAAAGTCATTGATATGTTGAAGAAATTTCTCTCTCTCTCTCTATCACTCTCTCATTTTATATTTTTCTATTCATTTTTCTATATATCTTTCTCTCTCTCTCTTTCTTTCTTTTCTTCCCCTCTATCTTATCATCAAAGACTAATCAATGTGTTTTGTGTCGTGAAAGGAAAACAGTGTAAATATATCTCTCAGAGAAAGAATTGCACAAATTTTGAAAAAATATTTTGGAGAAATGTTAACAAAATCTATTAAAAAATAATAACAAAAATAATAGGAATAATAATAATAATAATATTATTATTATTACCTGGTCCAGCAGCAAAAAATAAATTCTTTAATGAACATAAATAAGAAATTATATACAAACAAGAAAGGCAATTACCAAAACTTTGATGGGATTAATAACCATTGAATGAAAACGTAAGCAAATAAATAACACATATAAAAATTAATTAATTGAAATAATTATCTGAAATAAATAAGGAATATAAAATAAATAGATAAACAAAAGTGATTAATTATAAAAATTAATGAATGAATAAACAAAGCAAGGCAAAATCATAAAGGCACACACAAACACCACACACACACATACACACACACATACACGCACACATCTTCAATAATGTGCAACGAAATTAGGAAGGGAATGGAAAGCGAGAATGAACGAATGAAAAAAATCCGTGAAAAAATGAATGAGAGAATGAATGATTGATTGAATGAATAAACGGATAAACGAATGAATGATGGATAAATAAATGAATGAACCATGCAAATCAGTAAATAACCATATCAGCAAATACACACATAACGTGAAATTGCTAGCATCAATCAACATATAATGTTTGTTGTTGCACACTGTTTCACACACACACCACACACACACACACAGACACACACACACACAGGCAGTTATGTTGGAGAAAGATATTTGAAAAACATTTAGTCACAAAAATATGTACCCCTCAAAAATATCATTGAATATTCACAAGCCAATTATGCTATCTCGAAACACATGTCAACTAATGTAGACTGACATACAGACCAAGCGGAGAAATAATAATTTTATGATCGAACAACAAGCCGGCATAGAATGGACAATGAAGAAGTTAACTCATCTTTGTTGTGAAAGCATTATAACATCATTAAGATGAAAATAACGAAATAATAATATACATCATATCACTTTTGGACCAATCGTTATATCAATGAATAAATTATTTAACGAAGCAACTAAACTTTTATAACTCTAAATTCAAACTACAAATGAATTGAAACCACAGCTAGCAAACGTTATTACCCAATGAATCAACACCTTGAAGCAAGATTTTCAACAAAGAAAATTACACAAATTTTCAAAAAACCAGCAAACCAACCGGACAATCCACCCACATAAAAATCCAACCAACTAAACAAAACCGACCAACCAAATGACATGCACAAACCAGCTAAGTGAGCTATCCAGGAAATATATTTCCCTGAAATAGAATGGCAAAACCTATGAGAGAATTGGATCAGTTGAGGACCCCAGAGACGACTTTAACATAGGAGGAAGGAAAGTAGCCCCTTCTACCAGCGTAGGTGCCCTCCAGCCAGTTCTCATCGATGCGCACCACGTTGTGGATGATGCAGCCCGTCTTGAACTCCAGCTCGTTGTTGTTCTCTGCCTCAAAGTCGTACAATGCCTCCGCTCTCACTTCCGCTTGTTCTGCCGGTGGGAAAGAGGGAACATAATTACTTTGGAAAAGTAAAAGAAAATTGAAATGGGATAAGAATTGCTAGTCCATAGTCTTGATCATTAATCAGTCATTCACACAACTTGATAAGCAACCTAAAAGCGTATAGAGACATCAATGAACCAACCAACCAACCAGACAAGCAACCAATCAACCGGTCGGCCAGCCAGTCGGTCAGCCAATCATCGAACCAATCAGCCAACCAACCTTCATGCATGGTATGTATAGGAGGACTGCGAGGTGTGATGAAGTGACTGGGATCAATGGTCTTCAGAGACCTGCCAGCACCGCCCCCACCACTGCCTGATGACGAGTAACTGCTTGGCGAGGAGGGCTGGCGATCTCTTTTTGGTACCACGTGCGATGCTGCTGAGTCACTTCTGAATGGTCATTTCATTGATAGTTTTGTGGTTTTTAGTTCATTTTAAAAATTATGTTTTGATGGTTGGTCAGTTGGTTGGCTGTGTGTGTGGTTGGTTAGATGATTGGTTGGTTGTGTGGTTGGTTAGATGGTTCGTTGGTTGCGTGTGTGGTTGGTTCGTTGGTTGACTGTTTTGTCAAAGGATTGGTTGAACGATTTGTTAGCTGAATAATTTGATTAAAAATTCGTTTAACCAAGAAGTCAGGTGTTTCATTAATAAGTGAGATAAAGTACAATGCGTATGTATGTATAGATGAATGAAAGAAGAGATAGTCATAAAAAGAGAGAGAGAGAGAGAGTACTTTTTTTGAAGAGAGTTGGCCAGATTTTCGAGTAATGAAGTACATTTTCTGTGATAGACCAGCTCTGCCTTCACAAACGCCAGTAACTGAGATATCTGCTCTGCCTTTATAATGCATTCATACATACATTGTTTGTTTGTTTGTTACATTGTATGGAAGCATTTATATGAAAATCTTCATTGGATAACACTAAAAAATATATTATTATCGAAATACATTAAAAATACTGAGGCACATGCTCTGTCATCACAAACAACTCCATGAAATTACATGGCATGATCCATTCGTCACCAACTCACATCATTATCTAGCAGGTTGCCCATTGCATTCTCTGCCAGAGCCTTGCTCTCTTCGAATTTCTCCTTTGCCAGATTCAACTCATCCTCTGAAACTGAGGTCCCTGATTGATATTCATGAGGGATATAAATAGAAAAATGGGAGGTAACCTAGATTTGATTGATAGATTGGTGAGTTAGCAAACGAATAAATTAACAGAAAGACTACATATATTTGTGAAAGAATTATAATTTGCTTTTAGATTTAAACAACAAACGGAGAGGCAATGTTTATAAGCATTGAATGTTAACTAAGGATATTTTCTTTACATCACAAATTATAATAATACCAACTAATTCCAAGCAAGTTATGTTTAGTGGCAAGTGCATGTAGATTATACAACTCATAATAATATACATTGTTTATGTGCAAACAGTTTTATATGCATATTAGCTTGCAGGTTTAAAGGGAAAGAGTTCTAAATATTAATTAAATGAAACAATTAATTGAGTGATTGATTAATTGAATGATTGATTAAATATTTAATTAATCAATTAAACAACTTTATTAAACAAATAAGTTAGGATACAATACAACATACAAATAAATGCAATATAATATATACAATTAATATATTCTATTTTATCCATATGCCCCAGAAATTATTTTCAACTAAGGTACACTGAGTAAGCCCCAAGTAGAGTAAATGAATGAATGAATGAATGAATGAATGAATGAATGAATGAATGAATGAATGAATGAATGAATGGATGAATGAATGAATGAATGAAAAAATCGATATTTAAGTAAAAATAAAATGTTGAAAAAGCAATTAGATAAATAAATGACTAAATAAATACATAAAATCGAATTCTACTGTGAAACTATCTCAAATAAATTCTTTTCAAAATAAATGAATGAATGAATGAATGAATAAATGAATGAATGAATGAAAGAATGAATGAATGGATGAATGGATGAATGGATGAATGGATGAATGAATGAATGAATGAATGAATGAATGAAAGAATGAATGAATGGATGAATGGATGAATGAATGAATGAATGAATGAATGAATGAATGAATGAATGAATGAATGAATGAATGAATGAATGAATGATTGAATAAATAAATAATAATCGAATTCTAAAGTGAAATTAACCAGAAGGTTTATAAATGGACAGTGCAAAAAGTTAAGAAAAAATAGTTTTGCGTAAATTTGAATGGATTTAAAAGATGCCAACATACCCTCTGTAGAGATTGGTGTTAAGAAGTTTTTTTTATTACGTTATTATAATATTTATTTTAAAAATAAATCCATAAAAAAAAAACAAAATTTAATTAGAAATTCTTCAAAACGGCATAAAACCAGAAAACTATATTTAAACTTTATAGATATGTGTCTTTAAGTGTACTAAATTTATACAGGCAAAACACAGATAAAAACAAAAACGCATAAAAGGTTATCAGTAGCAGCAATATAACATCAACAAATCCCTGGATGTTTTCATAACAAGGACACAATGACACTAATTATAACATTATTTTCGCATTATAAAACTGGAAACAGCTATGTTAATGTAATGAGTATCAACATTTGAAAAATTACATTAATAAAAAGTTATATTGAAAATTAACACAAGCAATGCATCAGCAACAAAAACAACCCAAAGAACCATGACAAAAACAACAAAACAACACTAACGACTACACTAACAATGACATTAACAACATGAACACATACATCACTAACCCTTTGAATGTTTCCTTTTCTTGCAGTCATAATCAAGCCTTCTACCAACCAACTTTTTCCTATGAAACTAACATAATAATAATAATAACAGAAATAACAATAATAATAATATTGATAACAATAGAAACCAAACCACATCCATGAAACCAATGAATATAAAAGCAACACAACCATTAATAGCAGCAATGGTGGTAAAAGTTATTGCGTTTTCATGATGTTAAAAACAGCAGTCAGTTATATCAATGTTCATGTTTATCATTGCCTATACTAAATATGCTGTGAATTTTGCTTCAGATTCTAAAAATACAAATAAGTCAAGACTAGCAATGGTAAATAAATTGAAGAATCTCATGTAGTGACAAATAATCAAAAAAAAAAAAATAAAACATAGCTATATGAAAACATAAATAAAATAATTATGCAACTAATAAATAAAATATATCTACTTAGATAATTTCAACAAAAATAGAAAATGATGAAAAAGAAATGAAAAAATAAATATTCCTAACATTGACTTCTTTGATTTCTTTGTTCTCCAGTTGATGGATGGGTTCCAGAAAGTTCTGCTTCACACTGTCTTCTAACTTGTACTTCTCATCTGCCATCTCTCGGAAGCATTCACTCATGTCCATCAATGCACCACCTAAATATTATTTGGTTGTCTTCATTTCAACAAAAAAATTAGTAGATGAAAATACTGAAAATACCACTGAAACACTTTTATGATTATAAATTACACTGCTATCTCATGACAATGTAATGCCAAAATATTTTGTCTTCTCGTGTATAAAACTCAACATTATATACTGTAGATTCCAACCGGCCAGAGATTGTGCATCTCTTTCTACTTAACCAAATAAACTTCTAAAATATAAAAAATGTTTAGAAACTATCCACCAGCACAAACATTATGTTTAAAAAAGCCTCCAATGTTTGAAGACCATAATGCTACAACATTACAAACCAATTGATAAAAAAATATCCCATAAGCAAATAGCTAAGTAAGCTAACCATAGAGTGATGTGGTTCCTAACTCAGGACCATATTTGACCAGGCAGTCAGCAAGGAGGCCCTCAGGTTGCGGGTAGGCCATGTTGCTTGACTGACCTTTGATCTTTGATATGCCACGAGAGGCAGCCATTTTGGCCCTAGAGGCTGTTGATTATATCAAACATGATGAAGATTTTTTGTAAAAAAGTAAAAATTACTTCTAAAAACTCTAATGATAACATCTAGAAATTGTTATTAAATGTTATATTTTTTTTAATTTATAAAACTTGTAAATAATATTAACCAGGATTTGGCTGCAAAAGTTCAGTGACTTTGCTGGCAAGTTCATGCATTAGTTTCTCAAGCACATCTGTTTTCTTATAAAAAATTAAATTAAAATAATTGGTTTGAAGAATTTAATGACTGAGGGTCACCGTTCTTCATATTAATTAATCATTAACATATTGATTAATAAGATTCATTCTGTCATTAATGTAATATGATAATTTAATCTTAAATTTCAAAAAAAGAAAAAAAAACTAAAATAATTTAAAATACCTTTTCCATGTCAACAAACACATCATCTAGCTCAGTACCTTTTGCTCCTGCTATTTTCTCACTCATGAACTTAAAATTTATAATTTAAATTATCATGATTTTTTGTGTATTTTAGATATTTTTCAAAATTTTCCTTTTATATATTTATTATAATTTTATTTTATATCACCATTCAATAAAATTTTAAGACAGACGGGAATAAAATTTTTATAAATTGAAGTAAATTCAGTTAAACGTTAACCTGGTTGGCCTTGTTAACTTGCTTTTTTAATCCAGCAATCGACATTTTAAATCGAAATTGTCGTAGAAACTTTAAAACTGCCTGGATGTTTCGTTTTTAATTAATAATAATTATTTCCGATTTATGTACAACCAGAAATTTTTTCGCGAGTACGTAAGTTAACGTGTTGTTCTTTTAATTTAAACAGGGTTGTACTTACTGACTGAACGTTTTTTTTTAGTTTATCGTTGAACTAGCAGTCCAGTACAACAATCAAACTGATGGCTCATTTATGTTTTAATTTAAATTAAAACATGACAGTATAATTAGAATAAATAACGTTGCAATGTCATATCGTTTTACAGTATGAACGTTTAACTTTTGTAGGGGACCTCTGCCCATATCTACCTAAGAAAGGAATGAAGGCCTTAGTGTTATCGGCGTTTTATTTTATTTTACATCTCTTAGACTCAGGCATTTGCTTTTCAAATAACCACCTTGACTTTGGGAAGACCAAAATTTATGTGGGAGGTCCATTTACAAAAACAGAAAATTTTTTTAATACATTTTTGGATGAAGATGGGAAGCAAAATTCAACATGAATTGCTATTAAACTGAAGACCATAAAGTGATTTCAAACGACCGACAAAGCTATTGTGTACTCATTGAACCAAAAGTAATGGTGGACAAGGCACCCAAGAAAGAGATCAAGTTTTTCCAGACACAGCTAAGAATGAAAACTACAACGAACCTTACAAACAACGGGTTGAAGACATATAAATTTGGCTGTGAAAAAAGGGTCACATAATATTTGGCAATAAATAAATATAAATATAAGGGCAATATTTGGGGTCACATAAATTTTATCGAAATTAACTTAAAGTTTAGCTTGTCGCATTATTTATGCGATGACAACAGCTGTTAAATTATTTCTCAATGAGTTTGTTAATCGTAAGTAAAGTTAATATACTAAAATTATGCCTTTTATCAATATTTATGATGTTATTAGCGTGAACTTGGATTGTTTATTCATATTCTAAACTTTGACAGAACATGATTCATGTAACTCTCTTTTCTAAGAACTCTTGACGTGAACCATCATCCTACCCATGTTTATATATACGTCTCATATTCATAAAGAGTGCCTACATTTATATCACGAATGATAAATTTTAATTTGAAGAGTATCTTCAAATTGAAAGAAAATGAATCTTGGCACTTGTCAACGCATCTTTCACTGACTCAATCTTAAATTTGTTCTTAACAAACTTTTTTCTTTTGTGATTATTGAGACTTTTTAAAAAGTGTCCTTGTGATTTTGTGCTTGAGCTCACAACTCCAGATGTAAGATGTTTGAATGATGCTATTGCGTAGTGCCTCTTTATCTTCGTATCTTGCAGTGTTCATGTTCATGTCGCTGCTTTATGACATACCATGGTAAGTTAGTTAACATCACGCTTCATGAAGCGATCCTCAAAACGCGCATGTGGTCGTCAGAGCCGCCACTTCAAAACCACCTCTGAAAACGGGATGATGTGGCGGAAAGTTAAACGTCGTTTCCAATGTCGACTTTAACATGTTGGAGTTGGAAGACCACCAGGATGTTCAGCTTAGAAAGCGCACCTAATCGTTCATCCAC